CACATCAAGCATGCTCACCCTTTCAGCCGTGGGGGCGTTATAATGTGACGGCCAATCCCACTATTCGTTGGTAAAAGAGTAACCCCACAATCCATGTATCGCGGGTTTGAATCCCCGTCACATCAAGCATGCTCACCCTTTCAGCCGTGGGGACGTTATAATGTTACGGCCAATCCCACTATTCGTTGGTAAAAGAGTAACCCTGCAATCCATGTGTCGTGGGTTTGAATCCCTGTCACATCAAACATGCTCGCCCTTTCAGCTGTGGGGGCGTTATAATGTGACGGCTAATCCTACTATTGGTTGGTAAAAGAGTAGCCCAAGAGTTGTGGTTAATTGTTTTACCTTTATATGTTTTAAGCTTCACTTACCTGAGCTTTTATTAAATCCTCCTGCTGAGATTTAGTCAAATGACCTTGAGCTTCATGATATCTCACATTATCAAGCTGATGATGTTGGGAAGTTTTTGTACTTGAACTATACTCCACATTTTTTAACTACAAGTTAAAATAAGAAAAAACGAATATATATAATAATATTGTAAAAAAAACAACAAAAAAACTAGCTCTCTCAACAATGTTTAATTGTTGTATCCTCAAATTAAATGAACAATTAAAACCATAGCTAGAGGATTGTATTTTACTTCATCAGTCTTGTTTAGATTTTGATTGCATGTAACTAAATTTTATTCCTCCTGCAATAGCTATAAAAACTTTTTCGGTTGCAGCCAAATTGTGCCTTCCAGAAATAAGGGTTACCATCCACTAGCAATGATCAAGTAAATACCTTTAATGAAAACATTGCAACTTCCTCTATTGACAAACGTTTATTATTTTTTAGTGGAAGTAACCCTTTCTGTGATGGTTACTTTTTTATGTCTGTCATTGGTTGTGCTGAATAACTTGTATTTCTTAGGTCGTTGGCTGTATAGAATGATTTGTTTTATAGGTTATTGGCTGTATAGAATAACTTGTGTTTCCTAGATTGTTGGCTGTATAGAATAACTTGTGTTTCCTAGATCGTTGGCTGTATAGAATAACTTGTGTTTCTTAGATCGTTGGCTCTATAGAATAACTTGTGCTCTGTACACTATTGGTTGTGTGGAACTAATTGTGCTTAGTTGTGTAGAATGACTTGTATTTCGTAGGAGAGAATTGACACCTTGTTGACTCAGAACTCTGAACTTCGAATGGCTTTGGCTCGTCAAGCTGAAGACTTGGTTAATTCTACGAACAACGAAACTTCTGTTGATAAGGAAACTGATCGAAAGAACGACTTGGTAAGTGGTCTGGCTTAACCCTAACCTGTTATCTAATAAATATGTTTCAATAAGTAAACTGATAGAGAGTGGCTTGACAAACAAAATAGTTTATCACACAGTTGTGTTCCACTTTTGTTTGAGAAAAATGTAAGATTCTTTGAAACTACATGAGAGTAGAGCCAATGTGTGTATGCACATTTCATAATTTTCATGAACTAAAATGTTTTTTAGCTATAGAACAAACAGTGTGAAAAAAAAAAACTACTTGTCCAATGGTTAAATTGTAAAGGTAAAACTTATTGTGCTAGACATTGAGAGATATGAATCCCACCACTGGTGAAAGATGACAAAAGCAACTCTGAAGTTTAAGATTTTTTTTTTAACCGTTATACTTTTCTTTCTGATAAAGCAAGCAATATATATATATATATATTATAATTTTGTCTAAAACTAGTGCAGGATGTTGTCAAGGAAATGCTTGATGTTATACGGAAAATATCCAGTAACATAATTCCCATTTACTTGTTCAGTGTAAAATGTTATTACAAATGTACCTGAAACTCTAACTGAAGTTCGACTCAACGTATTTGTAATGTATTCTGATCTTGTAAAAAGTGCAAAAGTTTGTTAGAATTTTCATTGTTATTTTTAACATCAATTTATAAATTTCAAACTTAAAAAGTGTGTTTTTGTATTATATGGTAACATCAGTTTGAATTATGTATTTCTAAAGATCACTAATTAATTAATACAGTACAAAATTCATATTTTGATTTCAGTTTTGAAATTTGCACAGATGTATATTCCTATAGAATCACTCCTGTTGGAATTTGTATAAAAACGTTAAAAAATGGTAATGAAGCATTGGTAGTCTTCATTATGTTTTTTAGACACAATTCTTGTAACTGCAATTTAATCTTACAAAAGGTAGTTTAGTATTTCTAGGACTCCATTTCTTGTCTTTTGTGTTTCTAGGACTCATTTCTTGTCTTTTGTATTTCTAGGACTCGATTTCTTGTCTTTTGTATTTCTAGGACTCCATTTCTTAAGAAATGGAGTCCTAGAAATACAAAAGACAAGAAATGGAGTCCTAGAAATACAAAAGACGGCTTTTGTATTTCTAGGACTCGTTTTCTTGTCTTTTGTGTTTCTAGGACTCGTTTTCTTGTCTTTTGTATTTTTAGGACTCGTTTTCTTGTCTTTGTATACAATACATCTTTCTCTTTGCCCAGGTTACTTCTCTCTCGGCATCTGTCAAGCAACTTGAAATGGAAAGAGACTACCTGTTGCATGAAATGAAAGATCAACAAACCCAAAGAGATGACTTAAAGTCTCAGTTGACAAACCTGAACAGTATCACTTCTACCAGTGGTATTAAACATTTCGTAGGATTATACGATAATATCACGATGCTCATATTATGTAAAATTTAACTTTTATTTAATAAATAGACTGCTGAACTTTTAGTGTTAATGGCAAGTAAAATTTAATATTTTTTAAATCACTTTCTTTGGTTACTGCTTGTTAAATTTTCTATAAATAATTATCATTATTAAATTTATAATTAGGGAAAATTTATAATAACCCTTTCCAGACGCGTCATGGGTGAAAGGCCACATTATCACATTTGTTGACTCGCATTCAAAATTGTATTGAACTACTATTTCATGAATTTGTGTCAATAAGTTTGGTATCAAACTATAGATTATAATTGAAATTTAGCATTATACCTTACTCAATTTCTTAATTTAAAAGTAGATATTAAAAAACAGTTAAATATCGATTTTTGTATGTCACGTGGTATGTTGGATGCAGCACTGGTTCAAATTAGATGTTTGTGATGACAAAATACTAAGTTTATAGCTTTGTACGAATTAGAAACTCAAATGACCGATATTGACAAGCTAGAATGACAAGCCTCTTTTCATTTTGCTAAGATATTGCTTATGTAATGTATCAAAAAAGAGGTACCCCGCCCACCTCTGTCCATTTTTAGAAATGCTCCTTTATATACACTTGCTTCTATATATGACATGAATAACCAATCAGTAGCTCATAATGTCCCCCTAATGGCTTTCTCAGCCATTTTAACGTCTTTGGATGTCATCTTTTTTCTTTCGAACCAAGATTTCAAGGAGGTAGGTTGTGTCTTTAGTCTGGTCAAAAGTTAATATTTTTAAGACTAAACTACAGTTTAGTTACTAAGCTTGATAAATTATAGTGGAATTCTAAGGTATTGATGTAGTAATTTATGATTTTTTAGTTATACAAATCTATATATATAAAACCTAGAAAAATTATTTTGTTTCATATCCTCCATGTGCAAAATATTTAAAGGCTCAGCAACCTACGTCAAGCAGTAACCAAATACGAAGGTCGTAACTAGAAGAGTTTGTTTGTTTTACTTCTTTATTTACTGTTCTATGTTTCAAGAAAATACGTTTAAGAACTTATTTCTAAATAGCAATAATTTGTATACATATACAATGTATAATAATGGAAATGTGACTGTATTTTACAAAGTATTAGTCTACTAAAACACAGCCAAGACAAGTCATTTGTAAAAACCAAAGGTCAGTTTTATATTATTGGATACGATAACATGAGTGCACGTGTGCTGCATCATTGTAACTTCTGTATTGTTAGCCAGGCATGGTAGGAAAAGTCAATATAATAATAATAATATAATA